TTCACTGACGTCTGGAGTTTGGTGAGCTGTGGGGAGGGGATATATATATATATTTTCATGGGGAAATTGAAAGCTGAAATTCATTGTCCTCGTTCAAATGATAAATATTGACAACAATGAAATGGCCTGTCATTCTAGAATTTGTAATAAATATTAGAAAATTTCGAAGCGGGTAAGGAGAGGAGATTGTTGAGGAGATTTAGAATTAGGGGAAAAAAACTCTAAAAATTCGCCATATTGATGATAATGATATTGAAAATGATGTGATAATTGTTTTACTGCGCACTAGTGAAGCGATTAATTGTTGTTGTCAAATTACATTATATGCGAGGGTGACTAGTACCTGGCCAGGCTTTTCCTATGCTCATGAAAGTAATAAAAAGGGAGAGCATAAGCTCTTGTCACTATTATTTAGTTTCTTGTTCTATGATAGCCTCGGATTATAAGAGTGTATTTAGTGAGACACGGGATACATTTGGAAATGAAATAGAGATATAGGATGTCAATGTTAGATAACAACAAACTTAGGATGAGTAGTTTGCCAGGGTGCCATCAACACCGCCTAAGCCTAATTTGACAGACTCACAGACGTACCTGTCGATGAGCTCGATAGAAATGTCTGTGTTGTACTTTCAACTACGATTTCTAGCACTTAAGTAAGTAATACTGGATTTTTTCGTCGTTCTTTCATATCTACACGCATCTTCCGAGCCTGACGTCGTTTCTTTCGTAGCGATGTGCAAAAACGCATAAGTCGAAAAATTGAAATCCGTTGTCTGAGTTGCTAGCGGATTTTGGCGACAATGAGTTGCCCTGTCATTCTTAAATCTGTAATTAATGTTAGATTCGGAGTAAGGGAAGGAGAAGATGGATAGAAATCTTGCTGCGCTCTAATGAAGCGATCAGTTGTTGTAGTCATATTTCATATTACTTTACATGGAAGGTAAAGTAATACCTAGTAAACTAGTTCTGGACAGGCTGCTCCCAGGTAAGAATGAATAGGAAGAGCATAAGCCCTTGTTACTCTCATTAAAAATTTCTTTTATGATGGCCTCGCATTATAAGAGCGTAGATAGTAACATGCGGGCCTTCCATTATAAGAATGTAGATAGTAACATACGCTTTATATATGAAAGGGAAATAGAGATTTAGGATGATAATATTGATTGGGTGAAGAATTGAGGATGAGTAGTTCTTTTGTCAAGTTTCTAAGATGAGAATTAGTGTGGAGCATCCATTTAATAAAATAATGCATTATTCTAGATGGTAGTATATAATGGGAACTCGGCATTCTACACAGCACCCAGTAGCGGTCCTCATTAAAAACAGCTCTATCTAAACTTCTCCTACATTATCTTCCGAAGTAAAGCAAGGTTACTTTATAAGTTCATTATTTGAAAGCGAGGATATGACAAGGATGCACGGAGCTCCAAGCAATTGTTAACCAAATCCGCGGGTAGATGAGGTAGTTAATGGTGAACAAATATAGTTAGACGAGAGAGGAAGGCGAGATTATTGAGAGAAGAGGGAATTAGCAGGCCAGGAGCAGAAGGCTCCTGTAGTCTTACATCATGAGATCATCTTAAGTATAACCAATAGATGCGGTCTAAAGCAAATGAAAGGGATAAAACGCAATATGGAGAGAAAAGGGAGGGGAAGGTCGTTGCGGCAGTGTTTGCCTTTTTTTATAATTGTTAAGAGGGTGGTGCTATGAGTTATAGGCCAATAGCGCATCAGCATGATGTTGACCAGCGCATTTCCTACAAGCAGCTATGATATGGTCACCCATAGATAGCTGTCACCATGGAGATGACCTCGGACCAGATGTCCGGTCGTCCACTTTCATTCTTCCTTTTCTGGATGTATATCCACTAACTCAATCTAAACATGATTTTCATATGTTCATCCAATTATACTTATCTGAATTTGGATGAAATAAGTTTCTAGAGCTTTGGTCAGAAGTCCCGCAACTAGCGGAAGGCGCCACAAAATAAGAAATAAGCTTTCTCAAAAATTCTGTTCAAAAACGTACAGAAATCTTGGATTGCACCACTATGTATCCCAGGTGCGACGAGAAACTTTGTTTGTGTGGTCTTATCAAATGCAGTGTTCGTATATAGCGCATCAATTTCCTGCTATAGATACTACCAATTCGTTTAACAATTAGATTATTATGGTAAAGTGCGTATTTTTTTAGATTGATGAAAGGGCACATTAATGTGTTAATTCGTTCCATCCAGCTCATAGCTAACTTTTTGGGATCTCATCAATTAATTTAATGCGGTGATATAAAATGGTTGGAGTTA